CTTCTTCCGTGCTCCAATCGTTTCTCAAAGGTGGTTGCGTGCAGTGGTGATGCGGTACAAATGGAAGAAAAGGAAATATCCCCCTGCACCGGCCCTTTCCCTTCGGAAAAGGAAAAAGAAAATGGAGACGGCCACATTCCACCGGGTAAGAGAATCGTTTTCCGACAAATTCAAATTCGAGCGCTTACTTTGATGGGGAAAAAAAACGATCGGTGGCTTTAGAGAAGCGATTCGGTCGAGCTGAGTTTCGCGAACGCAGCCTGGATGCAAGCAGAGAACCCTTCTGCGGCCCAATGTAATCATCCAAAGATGTGCTCGTTTTTATTGGAGGGAGCAGGGGAAGAAACAAGGAGGAAAGACATGGGAAAAGGGGAAATACAGGTGTCTTCGAAGAGCCCCTGGATGGTGGCCGAGGCCATACGGATCGGCTGACATAGGCCTATAAGCATGCTAAGAATCGCTTCGAAACGGGATGCTTCCATTTCCTCCGCCAACCATTTAAGTTTCGTGTACCCGATGAGATCGTTTGAACTGCCTACGGTCATGGACCGCGATCGTCCGTTCTGTACGCCTTTCTATCTCTTTCAAGGACTAGCTTCCACCGCTTTCGTCTGGGAGACGATAAAAAATCGAGGTGTTGGAATTTTATACTTTGATACGTAGATGGACTTTCGGTGTGGTTTGCCCGAAAAAAATTTCGTTCCATATGAAACTCTCGTGAACCTATCCGCACCGGAAGATGGGAGGAGTGCCAAGTCACCCATAGTTTCTGCGACACACAGCCCTCATCCGATGCGTAGAACATTGCATACTTTCATCGAAACGGTGTCCGTAAATCGAATTAACTCGGTTTCTTTCTGAGGAGAGAGGGTGCGAAGCACGTCGGCAAAGGGAAGGATGATGTGGTTTAGCACCAGCGGGTAGCCCAGATCGGCGTCGACCGTCGATAAGGAATCCGGCCGACGTTCGCGCTTCTTTCCCTCGTTCCGTCTCGCATCCGTCGACCGTGCGATCCGGCCGGGAGAGGTTCGAGCGAGGCGGAGAGGGCAATAAACGGTTCCATATCGTCATTTTGCCGAAACCCCTTATAGGAAGAACGAGCTGCGGGGGGGAGGGAAGAGGGGAGGGGAGATGGAAAGAGAGGGATTTGGATGGGAGGGGGATGAAATCGAAGGGGGGCAGCGCATGACCATCACACCCCGGCCTGGAACTCCCTTTGTGTCGTCTGTGCCTTCCCGAGCCTTTTCCCTTCGCTCCCGACGAGCCACCATGTTCTATTACCCTCCTTACCACGCCTCCTATTGGAGCCAGAACAAGGGCGAGAGGGGGTCGACGAGTGAGACCGGTTCCCGCTTCGCGTCCCCTCCCCCTCCTCAAGAGGAAGAAGAGGAAGAAGAGGGACCGGGGAGAGGGGAGGAGGAGAAGGGAAACGGAAGTTCCTACGGGAAGTGCCTTAGGGCGTTGGGACTGGTGTCGGGGTCCTTGGGGCTCGGAAGCCTGTGCGTGGCTGTATCCTGGGACGAATGGCTTCTCATCCAAGAGAGACCCTTCCTTCCCTCTCACGACGAACGCCTCGTTGCCACTAAACTGAGCCTTTGGACGGCCTGCGACAACGCCACCGTTTCCCTCCCGGCCGGTACGTCCTTCTCCTCTTCTACCGACCCGAAGGGCGAACAGAATCAGGTGCCACTTTGCGGGAGCGCTTTCCTTTTACACAACGATAGGCTGTATTCTATTTCCGGATTCCTTCCGATTTCGTGGCAATAAAATGAGAATTTTTTCGTTAACTCGTGTGATCGATTTTCAGGAGCTCGGAAGGCAGCCGTCGCTGGGGAAAGAGCAGACGAATGCTCCGTTCTGTGACACCTCAACATCGATTCAACTCTCAGAAGCACTCCGGCTCGGAGTGCTTCAGTATTTGGTGCTTCGGAGCGTGCAAGGAAAATCTATTTCCATTTTTAATTTTCCCCCGGCTCCTCACGGGATTGCCACTCGAGAATCCACTCGAGATACGTCTTCGAAAAATGACACATCCGAAGAGGACCTCGGGATCTATCTGTTTGAGATGCGGAATACCCAGGAAAAACGCTTCTGGTTGCCGAAAGGCAACGACTAAATCGTCCATAGATGAGATACTACAATGGTATTTAATACGTATGCGCCTGTTTCTCGACGCTTCTCGGCACTGGCCCCGTCCCTCAAGGGAACGGAAGCGAGCGTCGAATGGACTCGTGACTCGTGCTTTTGGATCCGATCCGATCGCTTTTTATTCGGAACGAAGACAGTAGATGAGATGTACGGTACTTCGAGTAAGGAGACGAACTGCACGGTGCCGGTTCTCGTCGTAGGAAGCACTGGCAATAAGTAAGAAAACGAAGTAAGCATTGAGCCTGCGGGTAGGAGTGAAAAAGAGAGGAGAGAGGAGACAGGACACAGAAGAGAGAAGAAAGGAGGAAGACGACACACACAAGTTTAAAGCACATACGTCTTTCTTACGAGTCGGGCCGGTACTTAACTTTACAGTACGTTGGTGGTGGCAACAGCACAAACGGCCCGAGAGAGACGAAGAACGCGTCGCGTTGACGATGTCAGAGACTTTTTGCTCTCGTTCGGTCCGTGCACTGAGTCGCCACGAGAGGCCGAGAGACGAAGGTACGATCGACGACCGACCTTGCACCTGCACGTCTCCGAAGGCATCGGTTCCGAGCAAGGAAGGAAGAAAGAAAGGGAGCTCCTCGGCCCTCGGAGCGAGCGGGAACTTCGGTGTCGAGGATGGGAAGTCGTATTGCTGAGATTTTCATCCTCGTCGGTATCCCGTCCGCGAGAATTCCTTTCCCGGGCGAGAGGAAAGGAAACTCTCGTTTTCGTCATGGGTAGGCGCAACGTCGGAAGCGGAAACACGAGGAGAGACCGCCGAACCGCGATTGCCAGAGAATGCTACTTTTTTTTTCCGCTCGAACGTTCCCGCTCGACGAATCCATACGTACGGACAGAAACTCGTCGGGTTCGGAATCCAGCCTGAGACTTCTTGAAAGGTGGGGGGAGGGGGGGGGGGGGGATGGCTCCGTCGCTTAGTCTCTTCCTCTCTCCTCGATCTTCGTTTTTGTTCTCTCGTTTCAGACGAACGTTCCCGACTGAAATCCCATTCGACCTTCACATCCGTTTAAAATTCTCCGTCGGATTCGAAAGCCGTCGTTCCCCAGCCCCCGTTTACGCGGAGTTCACTCATCCTCTGGCCCATTCTTTGCCATTATCCGGGCTCCCCAGAAGAGATCGAATAGGACGAGGAAAAAAAGGCGTTCAGGGTCCCTTTCTGGCCTCCCCACTTCCCTGAACCCCAGGAATTAGAGAAAGGGGGAGGCTCTTATATTCATTCGATTCCCATTACCCCATTCCTAGAATGGGGTAATGGGGATTGCTCTCGTCGTTCTGACTTTCTCGCACTCTGCAGAGGTTTCCCTTCGTCCCCTGTGTCTCATCCATCCTTGTCGTTCCGACCTCAACAAGTTACTCACCTCCCATCCGTCACGAGAAACTGTTTTCTTGGCGTCGCATCGCATCAGAAGACCGCTTCTGTTTTCTTTCTTTATTTTATAGCCAGAATCGTGGCGGGAGAAAATTCCGGATTCCTCCCATGCGACCGGTGGGAAGAACCGAGTCGGCGATTCCCCCATTCCTATGGGGAAATAACCGACTCGATTCTGGCCCACCGCGGTACACCGAGAGTGCAGTCTTCTTCACGACGAAGGGAAACACGAGCTGTCACTCTGTCGGGCTTTCCACTCTCCGGACGAGCCGTTAACCCTTCAACCCTTTAAATCCCATGTTTTCGAAGCCATGCGAGCGCTTTCATCCCAAGTTTTTTCGGGAGTCTCGACGGTTGTGCCAAATTACTCGAAAACTTGCCGTTTGTTTGCTTGCTACGAGATTCTACACCTACTACCTCACTTAGTCTACTTACCTACATAGACTAGGCTCTCCCTTTGGAAAGAAAACGATGGGCTCGGGATGATACAGCCTAGGAGACCATCCCGAGTATATTCGGGCTTGGGATTTAATGAGGAAAAAATTCCTGTTCCTCTCGAGTGCTTGTCGAAGAAAGTCCACCGTGGTTATGGGTGATCACGAAGTAAGAATCTCGCTTACTTACAGAGTGCCATAGCGGCGAAACGACGAGTTGTAGGACTGAGCCATCGCGCAAGCACTATGAGCAGCACACGGAAAATCCATTCCTAGGTGAGGAAATCTTGGCAAGGGGTCGCTGCCGTTGCATCGTTTACATACTATATTACCATGAAATGCCATGGGAAAATGTATATATATGCGCTGACGATACAGCTTTATAGACCAGTGTATATGATGAAGGTGACAGGAGTGGAGAGAAGGAAAGATACTCGAGTTTAATTAAACGAATGACATGACTTACATGCAAACCATGCCGTGGTGGTACTCCTAGCAATGGAGGCAATATTTAGAAGCCGCAGCGATCACGGAATGGTTGCAAGGGTTGCATCCCCGGTGAGAAAGATATGGTAAGGGCTGGAATGGATTCCTCATGTCTCATTTATTGCGTGTGCGATGGTACCATCCTGCACCTTAAAGTTTAGGCATTATATCGATCTCGAGTGGGATGCTTTATAATAATTCTCCGTATTTTTTTTTCGATAGTCACATGCTGTTAGGTAGGCATCGAAGTTTCTTTTTTTCCCCTGATCCTCGGACTAAAATATCATATAAATACGAGGGTGCAGGAGAGGGGAATTCCCAATGTTTTCTGGCGTCTCTCTTCGCCTAAGTCTAAACCCTCCCGTGTCGAAACGCCGCATCCCTTCGGAAAGATCGGTCGTACGAGCTCGTGGAATCTCCACGACAGTGGCGTAGGCAGGAAATCGGCAAGGGGGGGGGGGGGGGGGGGGGGGCCCGGG